AAGGGCTGACCAGCCAGAAAGAGCTGGGCACGTTTCTGTGTTTCGTTGCTCTAAACCAAAATACTGAGAGTAATGTGCAAACTGCAGCGTTGTCAGCTCCAAAACCCTCAAAATAAGTAATTTTTAAAAAATCTTATTATTACATTTTAGAGATATTGCTCCTTTCAGATGCCACTAATGATGCCCACCTTTATAATTTTCCACCCAGCCCATTAGTTTTTCCTGTAATGAACATTCAGATCCCTTCGCTGTGGCATTTGGGCAGAAAAGCCATGCAATATTACAGGCTCTTGCAATTCCTTAGTAAGCATTGCAACACTGTGGCTGGCTTGTTACATTTGCAGAGAGACCTTTTGCCTCCGTAGCGTGCAAGCCTTAATGTCATGCTGCCGGCCTGATGGATTAATCCAGACATTGTGATCTGATAAGAGGTGGTGCTCGCAGGGAAACTGGGGTACTGGAGTGAGATCTAATACTCGATGTGTCCTTTACCGAGGTGGTGCTATGCACAGGCTGCTGGATAGTTCTGCTTGTGTGATCAGTTTTAAAAGTTGACTTCTTAATACCCAGAGTAGGCTATTTTTACAGAGAGTTCGTGTGTATCTAAACAGGCTTCTTAGAACTGTTCCTCTGTGGAAAGTGTGGAGGGCTAATTGTGATTGAGAATTAGTATATATCCAAGGCCATAGTATACCTGTAATCTAAGACATTTGTCTTTTCTTAAAGTGAACAAATACTCCTGGAGCCTCTGCCTCCCATCCAGTCACTGGGGAGTTCCTTCATTAGATTTGACATTTTTGGGATTTTCACTTTGAAGTTATTAATGATTTTATACAAGAAGTAAAATACACAACTGGGTGAGAATGCTTGAAAGGAATGCCATTGTCACCAAGGCTGTAGCTGTTACAAAGTCATACCATTTCTTAATGTGACACCCATGTGTATATCACACTAACTGTTTTGCTGGATTAGCTACATGGCTCATGTAGTTCTATATCCTTTCCCTGACAGTAGTCAGTAGAGGAAAGGGCAAGAAATGTCCTAATCTTGATTAGCTGAGGATTTGGGTAAACCCTGACTGCTTTCAAAATTTCAAAGTGTTGCAACTCTGAACACCCATGTTAGTATTCATGCCCTTACTGACTCCTACAGAGATTTCACCTTCGGTAGCAACTACGAGCTGGGAGTCTCATGGCTGAGCTATCCATCATGAGAAACAAGCTGACTTCTCATCTCTCCTGAAAGTGTCACATTTTAATTTCTCCAACTGTTCATTTCTCCTTGCACCATGAGACAGAATGGAAATCTGTACTACACCTTTTCTATATTCTCATTATTTGATGCATTTCTGCACTCGTGTTTCTGTGCTTAAGCAGACTTTTCCATCTTCAGGCTTATCCACCCTAGAAATTGCTGTTGTCAATTCAGTGTGAATTCAAAATGCAACGCAATTATGCGCAAGCTTCTTGTGTGGCCACCCTGGCTCCACACTTGGAGGGCTTTCAGAGTATGTTCCAGCTTACTTCTGCACATGGACAGCACATTGCAAAAGTCCCAGCTTGCTCCCCATCGCTCAGATCTTTTCCCACCACACCTCAAGAAGCAGGGCAGATGTGCCGAGGTGCAAACGCACAGCAACACCATCTGGGCAGGACAACCATGCCCCCTGGCAACCTCCACCGCTATCCTTGTTCAGGCAGCCTCCCCAGGAGGTTGTTAATGATCACCCCTAAAGCTTCCTTTAACCTCCTCTGACTCTGTAATTCCTGAAATAGGGTTAAGTGCTGTCATTAGTGCATAGGGATGGTTGGGCATAGTGCAAAAGGAGGGGCAGAGAGGGTGGTAGAAAGAGTACTTAGCTGCACTTTTACAAATTCTGGGTAATATGGAAGATTATGTTTTAAGCAATCAAAAAAGGAGAAGGTAGGATGGAGGTGTCCCTCTGTTTGTCACCTCCACATTAGTTGTGCAGTCAAAGACTCTTTGGTATCCTGCCTGAAGGAGAATTTTATCATATGGGCAAGTTTGGAAGTAAGCTGGGTATAATTCCCTAGCTTTTAGAGCATTAGCATGTCCCAGGAAGGACCCTGCAGAGCTGTCAGCTTTATCTGTTGCTTGATTGGGTTTTTTCATTTACAGATTATCCTAACATTTGAGCTATGAGAGTGATGTGGAACATTCATCCTGTAAGGACTTTCCCCTTAAAGGCAAGCTCACAGTGTAAAAGGTCTCCCAGGCTCTGCAGTGGGCTGGCAGCAGTTTCTGAGTGACAGCCAAAAATATGTTCTTGCAGCAGTGTTTCCACATTGATGGCACTACAACAGAGACAGCTCCGCTAGAGACAGAGCAGGCAAACCCACGCTTTGGCAGAATGCAGAGTTCTGCCTGCCTAGACGTAAGGGTAGCTGTCATCTTTGCAGTTTCATTTGTCTTTGCCTAAGGCAGCGATAGGAATTATGTTCATAGGGAAAATAAAAATAGTCCTAGTAAAAATACTCTAGGTCTTTATCCTCTCACTTTTATCCTACCCAAGAGTTAGCCACATCACTTTGGAAAGCTGATACTCTCTGAACATAGCTCAAGCCCTGTATAGTGTTGGGTGCTGTGACTAATTACTGAGTAGTTACAAGTGCTGAAAAGAAGGAAGAAGAGAATCCCCCTGAGCTTCCCACCATTTCAGTCTTGCTTTGGCTGCCGTGGATCTAGCACTCTTTTCAGCTGGAGCCAAGAAGAGGTTTCAGATGACTCCTGCAAGCGGACTAAAGTTTCAGGGTAGCGCATGCCTGGGAGGACATTCTCTTCTACCTAGCTAATTCCCAAAATATAATCAGCAGGCACCGGCTGAGCCGAGGGAGCCTCTCGCGTGTACAGTGCCTTACCCTGCCGGCTGACCTAGTTGTAGATGCAGGGAGTCACACACAATGCCAAGCCTGTTAAGTGACTGCAGATTTCTCCACACAAACAAGCAAACAAGAAATTAAAGAAAAGCTTCAGCTGTGCTGATAAGCTTGCAGGGGCACATAGGGCTTGTTTGTTTGGTTTGGCCTTTCTTTGAACCTGATTAACATGGAAAGCTATAGTGAGCTTCAGTGCAGTGCATAAGGCTGGAGCAGGCTGACCCACAGCTCCCTGGACATCTGGGGCTTGCAAAGGCCTACATAGCATTAGTCCTGCTCTCTGTGTCACACCCTGCAATGCCCTGGAAGTGTTTGCTCTATCACACTGCTGTCTTAGAGAAATAAAAGGGAAGACTGAAACCACCGGTGTTATAACACACCCCAAAGGCATCACAAGCTCTCTGTGAGATGAGCAGCACCAGTGACGTTTCCATGCCTGCCTACCCGTGATTTCCATATCAGTGAACATTAATGACACTTTGAGGAACAATAAAGAGACCTAAATTTCAGAGGAAGTGTGCATAGCAGTTTGTGAGCAGTTGCTCTGTAAGGACTACACCATCTTTAAAGGATCAGCTATGAACTTACAAGTGCTGGTCTAAATCGTTTTCACTTCTAAAAGCACACAAATACAAATACAGTCCTGTGCTTGCAAACACAGCTTGTACAAGCCATATGTGCTTTAGGACCATGCCATGTAAGTATTTTAGGATGGCATTTAAAACTAATTTCAGTAATACTAGAAAATATCTTTTCAGTAATAAAACTTTATTTTCAGCATCAGGCACAGTCTGCATAGGAGCTTATGGTAATTTATGGTGATGCTGGAGAAGCAAGGCTTGCCCCTGGAGGAAGCCTTTGTTTGTAGCTTATAACATGGACATACAAAAACTGGTTTTATGTTCTATTTTGAAAGATTATCTGTGAATACTTTAAGAACTGAAGACAGGATTTATGCTCCTCAGAGAATGAGAAGACGTTTCTTTGCTCAGTGCTATTACTGCTCAAAGAGCCAGGCACTTCATTTGTTGCCCTGACCTTTTTCAGAATATATTTATCATTATTTGCTTGTCTAAAATATATCTTCAGGCAGAGGGAAGCAGCCTCATTGTTTTATTTTATTAAAAAGAAGGCCCATGAATTTTCCTTCTCAGTTTGGCTGTAGCTATGATGCCAATGCTGTGTATGCCCCTTGATACTGGGGAGAAAACTGAAATGCATGGGTAACGTTCAGGGAAGTGATGCTTAAGATGTATAACTGCAATAAGCTGGAGCAAATACAGCTGATCTGCATGCAAATATTCTCTTAATGAAAAGGCAGATGAAGGAAGGCAGATGAAGGAAGATTTTGCTCTGTTACAGATACATTTTTCAGAATCCTAAAGTGAACCACAGGCTCTTTCCGTAACATTTTCTGTGAGACATAAATGCTCTAGAAGCCATTCTTTCTACAAAAGACGCCAGCATGGGTGGAACTGTGGGAAGTGGGAAGAATCTCCTTGTCATCAACAGGACAAAGGACCCACACAAAAGTGCTTTTTATTTGTAATATATTAACACTGAGTAAACATTAATGGGCCATGGGTGCTGAAGCCAAATCTTCAGGACCAGATCCAATGACTGGAGGTGTTACCCTGATAGTGCCTCCACCAGCTTCAGCACAAAGTCTTCTACTTGAGCAGCTCCACCATGCTGGATGGGAGAGCCTGGGGCCTCGACTCATACCCACAGGCCTACTTTTCCTACACAACCAACTATTGTCCTTTCATTCCTCTGCAACACAATTGCACAACCACAGCAAAGGCTTGTACTTTTTGTATGGTTTGCAGGTCATATGCTCAGAGATCTTTAGTGGAACATATCTCCAAGCCCACTGGTGGTCAAAAAGAGTTGGAACAACACTTAGGTATACGGTTTAACTTTTAGGTTGCCTTGTGTGGATGAGGAGTTGGGTTCTATGAGCCTTGCGGGTGCCTCCCAACTCAGGATATTGTGTGATTCTATGTTTCTACTTTTCCCACTCCCCAATATGTGACTACAAGAATATTAGTGCAACAGTTTGGTGAAAACTTCAAGATCACTGGGTGCAAGAGATAAGAAGAGGATGACCCTCAAAGTGCCAGCAGCACCAGATGGCCAAGGGCCAGCAGTGGGAAGAGGTGTCCCTTCATCTGTAAAGAAAATCATAAGGCATGAACAGTGGATCAAACCAGAGCTATTATCATATCTTAGGCAATGTTTTTAGGAGGACATTTATTGTAATATGTTGAGAATATAGAGATCTCTTCTTCTCTTCCCCTCCTAAGAATGTGTGTTAAAACATATAAAAGTTGTGGCTTTTTGTATTTTTTCATTTGTAAAGTTATTCTCAGAGGAGGGCTTTTTACACATGAGCCTCTTCAGTACAAGATCTAACGAGAGGGTACTTAACTCTGCACCTCCAGTAAAGAAGGCACTGTTTGTTCTATAGGAGGATGCAACTGCAAGGTTTAGATTTCTTCCTAACAACTCAGTAGCTGCATTACAATTAAGACCATCACTTATATTGCCCGTATTTACATAGTGTAAATATCACTGAAGAACATAGGCTGCAAGAATCTGGGCATAAAGAGAAGTTCCTTTATTTCACTTTTTGCAATGCATTAGAAAAATCCAGTCATGCTAAACTGTTCTTTTCTGCATATTACATTTTAAACCCAATTAACATTCAAGGTTCAAATCCAGAAAAGATTCAAAGAATGATTTCTGTCCTGGGCTTCTCTGAATTCATTCTTTATGCATCATCTGTAACCATTAAATCCTCAGTATTGGTCTCGTGTATGTACAAAACTGTAATTGCCCCATTGTGAGCCAAAGCAATGTTTTCATACAACAGAGAGTACTGAGATGATACTCATTATCACATTAGTACTGATTGTGGATACCACTGAAATAGCTTTCATTAAATTAACCACTTGAGGAAACAAGATGTCATCACACTTGTCAACATGACTTATTTCTGTAGGATGTTTGTAACCTGATGGATTGCAAGAGATGAAGCTGAAAAACAAGAGAATTCTATCTGCAGCTAGCACCACACATCTGCAAGTATACCTTGAACTTGGGCTTCACTCATATCTGGATCTGTTATGGCAAGTTTAACTGCAGTGTGGCCTTTTGGGCTAAATCCTATTTCAGTAAAATTAGTGGCTGTGATAGTAAAATGAATGTATCTGAATTCGAGCACTGAGGATCACCTGTGCTTGAGTATGACTTTTCCTTTTTTTTGGAAAACGTTTCTCTCTATAAGCACAAGTATTCCCATTAACTCCACCTGCAAACTTCTCTGCTTGATGCTTTCCCCGCAGTGAGCTGTAACTTTCACATAATAGAGTGAACACATCCATATTTGTTTGCAGAGACAAATATGAGAGAGATATTGCAGAGACAGCTTATATCCCATGTTTGGAGCTTCTTAATCTAAACAATTGCAAAAGAGGAATTTAAAGGTTTCCAATGTCAATCCCAACTGTAATTTCAGGGACCTTCCTCCAAAGGTATACAAAGCACAATGTAGCTCCTTAAAACTCAGTATGCTTCTTTCCAAAGAGCCCACTTGGTGATGCGGGGACATGAATGACTATTAATACATTCACTGCTTCATCTTTTATATCCTGAAATACTGAATATAACTTGGTTGACTTTGCAGTTATTGTAGTGGATACTAATCCTGTGGGGTTTTATTATTGTTATTTAAATAATGTTTTATGTAATAGTGTTCCAGCATGTCAAATTCTAAGCACATTCCTAGCAAGGAGCCTCTGTAGCTCATAGCTCCTCCTCTCACAGCTTAGTTGCTTCAGTTGCTGCTGCTTCAGTTGACTGCCATTACAGTGACACTTTCAGAGCATCACCCAAGCACATTAACGCAGCTCTAATTACTGATATGGTTACTCTGCCAATATAAAAGCTCCACTGTACTATCCAGATAATTCTTCATGGGCATTTACGTTTATGTATTCACTCACAGCACAAAATCACTTGACCTTTAGTAAAGTTTGTTGCTTTATCTCTCTGTAGCACACTTTATATAGTTGTCTCAAAATTTATTCCTCACAGCTCTGAAAGCCATTATTTCCACTGCTTTACTATGAAAACCTAAATGTCTGATCTGGGGTTTGAGTTGACTTTTTTATTCTTGTTTTCCCCTGCAGCTTCTTTGGAATATCGGGATTCTGATCTGCCTCCAACCCCCAAGCAGTTAAATACTACTTTGGGCAGTCTTTCTGCTTTTAAGGGTATGATTTCAGTTTGCTTGTTCTGAGACTCTTGCAGCACCAGTTGTTATCTGGTATGGGTAGATATAACGTTGTATTTTCATTGGAATCTCGCTCATTTATTCTCAATTCTGCAAGTACTGGAAGCGTAAGATGTCATTAGTATTCTCTGAGGTCTTCTGAAAAATATCAGCCGAATTATTGTAACACAAGGAAAATGGGTACCTCTCAAATTTGTCTCAAGTTTCCCTCCTATTAGGGCATGCAAACTATGTGAAAACTTCATTTTTGGCTTGAGTCAAAAGCAGTTGCACATAGAGCTGAACATTAGTGAAAACTAATTACACCATCCTTGGCTTCCTGGCAGTGAAAGAAAAGAGGAGTTATCAGAGGAGGACGAGCCAAGCGAATGACCTGGTTTTCCAATGTTGTGCACAGGGAGAGACATAAGCTGCGGCTGATGAGGAATGCTAATGGTATCGTGCAGCTGGCATCTCACGCTACAGCAAGCAGCCGCAGTGACAGCTTGGTACCGCCATCGGAAGAAATCTGCACCCATCTAGTGGGAAGCAGAGCTGCGTGCTTTCTCATCAGTGTTCTAAGGGGTTTCACTGCAGCACTTTATTACTACCTTTATTTTATACTTCGCTCACTGGGTCATTAAGGATGTCGTGTGAATGTGCAATTTAGGTCTCCCATGAGACTCTGGCAAGCAGAAACAGTACACAGGCCCACAGCTTTGTGGTGTCACTGTCCCGTAGTTCACCTAAGGTGTGGTAGAATGAGACAATTCGATCATGGACAGCAGCAGTAACCATGTCTGCTTACAATGATTTATGGGTTATTTTTAATACTGCAGAAATTCTAGCTCACCTCATCACAGCCCCATTGCCCTCCTTCTCCACAGCCCCAGGTTCTCTCCATATCCCCTAACACCCCTTTCCCATGGTAGCCAGCCAAGGGCTGGCTGGGGAGGCGGCAGCACACACTGTGGCTGCTCCAAGCCATGGCTGCCTGGCTAAACAGAGCAGATGATCACTGACATCCTGCTGACACCTCATCTTGGTGGAAGCAGCCACTCTGCTGCAGAAAACAATGATGAATCAGAATGTGAGTTTCTTCCACTGCCCTCCCACCAAAGATTACTCTGTTTGCTAAATAAATCCTTTCTACTTGGAAGAAAAAGCCTAAAGGCAAGACCTGCCACAGGTGGGACTTCTAACATGACTTCTGAGAAAAAGACAGGTACTACTCTGGAGAAATGCAGAGACTTTGGAGGGCTAAAACCACAGAGCTGTATCTGGCTGGAGCCAAAGGGAAGGTATAGCGAGTATGATGGATTGCCTTTGCTGCAAGGATGGACTGCTACTGTCAGTATCAGTATCCTTCCCTCAAACTGAATAATAAGCATCTGCCTGCCACTTTCTGGTGTTTCTGCTGTAAAACTGAAGTTTAGAAATATATCATCTGTCAAAAATATTTATGAATCTTGCTGTGATAAATGCAAGGGTGATGAATAAGTACTATGCAGTTTTGCGACAGAGAAGCAGAGCTTTCTGCTTCAGGCAGCCCCAGCCCAGTCATGCAGAGTTTGTTGAGGGCTCTTTGATCTAGACAGAGAACCTCAAGGAAGTGTTATCCCAGCTAAAAGACTGTCAGGAGACAGGATGTCATCTGGATGACAGAAATATTCTTCTGATTAGAATTTAGAAACCAGACAGCTTAGAGAGACAACGACGAGACAGAGATTTAGAGTGAAGCGTACCAAACACAGCAGTGTCTTAACTGTGGTCCTGCAAGTGGAATTACCAGTGTCAAATCACCCTGTCGTGGTTGCTGGTTTCATTCAAAGTGAACCGATGTATGAACGCATTGTATGGACAGCAGAATAAGAAGGATGATTTGAATGCCTGGTGTATTTTTCTCCCCAGGAATCCTAGAATAGTTAGGGTTGGAAAGGACCTTAAGATCATCAAGTTCCAACCCCCCTGCCATGAGCAAGGACACCTCCCACTAAACCATGTCACCCAAGGCTTCATCCAACCTGGCCTTGAACACTGCCAGGGATGGAGCATTCACAGCTTCTGTGTGCAAGCCATTTCAGTGCCTCACCACCCTCAGAGTAAAGAATTTTTTCCTTTATATCCAATCTAAACTTCCCCTGTTTAAGTTTGAACCCGTTATCCCTTGTCCTATCACTACAGTCCCTAATGAAGAGTCCCTCCCCAGCATCCCTATAGCCCCCCTTTAGATACTGGAAGACTGCTATGAGGTCTCCACGTTGCCTTCTCTTCTGCAGGCTGAACAGCCCCAACTTTTTCAGCCTAAAAGGCTAATATGCTCTTACATTCCCATTTCTACATAGTCCTTAGCAGGAAGGATAATATGTGGTTGCAAACTTAAGATTTTACTGAGAACAATATAGTAATTGGGTTGGGATGTTTTCTGAGTTTGCCTTTGTCTCTAGTGATCACCTCCTCCTATAATCTTCAGGGAGATCAAACTGTTGAGAAGAAGCATCCTCCACACAATAAGGGGCAAGAAAACATAAAGCTCAGAAAATGGGCGAGGGTACTAGGATTGGGAAAAAATCCATGAGGAAATAGATAAATAGAAGGAAGAAACATCTGGGAAAGTGTAATAGGACTTAGAGATGCATCTGGTGGGGCTGCAGCCAGGTGCAGATGGGAGAAAGGATTGGGAGAGCAAAGGAGGTTTAGAAGGAGATAGATGAGGGGTGGGGTGTGACTGGGAGAGAGCACCCCGGTGTTGGTGGCCCAGGGCCTGGCTTGTCATTACTAAGGTAATCACAGAAAATAGAATTGAATGCCTCCTTCTATAACCCTTTATGTTAAGAAAGGAAAGATTTTTGTCTAAATAACAACCAGAATTTGCTGTGTCTGCATTATCTTGAA